TTACTCTGAAAGATACCAAATAAAAATGTTCAATATTTCACCGTAAAACATTCTTTTTAATATAATTAACATTTCTTCTTTATTTTATAACGTCAAAATCAATTATTGACCAACTACTGGAACAGATTAAATGTTGTAAGTAAAAAACTTCAAAGCTTTGAAAAAGATATTACAGTGGTTTTGGGGGGTTGAATGATTCATTAATACAGTGTTTCCCAACCTTTTTACCACCACGGACCACTTCGACAATATTTTATTGGTCGCGGACTACCTAAGCGATATTATGGTGAAATAAAATATTTTTCACTGTTAAAAAAATAATAATAATTTTTAATAGAAAACGAAGAATGTTACCGTGGACCACCTATGACTGGACCACAGACCACCGGTTGGGAAACACTGCATTAATAAATTTAATATTATATCAGAGATAATCTATAAAAATCTGAGAAAAAGGAAATTTAATGAACTTAAATTAAAGAGTATAAAACAATTTCAAGGAAGAAAAAAACAACTCCATAAGACAAGGTGATGTCATTTTAGAATACATATTTCACAATAGTTAATAAGATAGATAATGAGCTTCAAAAATGACGAGAAGCCTATAAATATTTTTATGGACCTTTTTCTTTTTAACCACATTTAAAACATAGGGCAAAATGAAATATCAGAAAAAGCTAAAATTTTTTGCAAAATTCATAAAACTAATTTAGATTATGAAGAATTTGAGCATGAACATACTACATTATCATAACACATTTTTGATCTCTTTCAACTTCTAAGTATAATGAAGAAAAGTTCACTGCACTTAGCCCTTTGGAAAACATTTTTAAAAAAGATATGAAGTAAGTGTTTCCAAACAATTTTTTTCTTTTTTCTAATGTTTTATTTTCTTATAAAATATTTACAATCTATATACAATTAATACAATAAGTAAATTTTAGATAAATGTTTGAGGGCTTGGGGCGTGAAAGAAGAGGGCATCCATTTCCAAACATAGAAATATTTTTGAGGATTTATTTTTCAACACCTGCCATTAACTGTACTTGGGAAAAATGTTTGCTTTTGGAAACTTCTTTAAAGCGGACAAAACCTTTTTTGTGTTCAAAACTAGGACGAGAACAATTAAACTCCTTAACAATTCTGTTGATTGAAAGTGAAATGACACAAGAAATACAATTTGAAGACATAATTCAAACTTTTGCAAGAAAAAAAGCAAGGCGCAAACAAATTAAATAGTTTATTTTTTCTAGTTACTAATTAGCTATGTTGAATAATAATATAAGTAAACATTCTTAATTTTGATTATTACCTATTGTTTTTTATATTAATGTAATTTAAATTTGATTGAATACATTAGTTTCTCTAAGAAACCTATAATTATACTTATACAATGATTATATTCAATTGGTAGCGTAAATTTATTCGAAAAAATGGTGAAGGATTAAATTTTAATAATTATTATTGTTTAGTATCAGTCTATGATTTATTTTTTTGATAGTTATGTTAAATAAGTACTAAAAATATGTTTTCTCATTGATCAGTTTAATGGGGTGGAAATTGTGTAAATCCAACTCTGAATTTATAATTGATACAAAACATAATACAGTCAACTTACACTTCTAATTCTGAATCTGCATTATCTACATTTAGATTTTTGTCAATTTGAATATAATCAGATATTAGTGATGACGAATAATGTTCAATACATATTCCTATAATCTTTGGAGCTAATCCAACATACATTCCTTTGAACCCATCGACTGAATAAATGTATTTAGCTGAAAAAAATTGTTTCAGTTAGGTTAAGTTAGATGGTCAACTTTAACAAATTAGATCTGGTTGGGCAAAAAGTCAGGTAGGCAAAAAGTAAAAAGTTCCAAATACTTATTGTTTTTTAAAAATATAATTCAACCAACCTATTATTACTAATAGCAATATTAATAAAATATACTAGGTAGACAGTACTAGACCTCGMTCAGAAGAGGACGTTGCATCTGCATGTTGGTTTCTGTCTTACACACAAACAACATTCTAAATTTTCATTAAACCGTTTCAATAGTTTTGATATTRAAGTGAATTGACTTATTATAAAATTCACTCTAATATCAAAACTAACAGCACATTATTGAAACTGATGAAGCAATCGAAAGTTCAAAATGGAAAATTGATTTTTGGAAGCGTTTTTTCTGGAAAACTTTCCAAACTTTCTCAAATTTTTACACAAAATAAGTTTTTGTCAAAATCAAATTGGGTTTTTTGTGTAACTCTAAACTTATCTGACTGTAGAGAAGCTATTCAAAGGTATTTATATTAAAATATATAAGTTAATTACCATAAACTATTAAATTCGGTAGAAACAATCGTTCTTCACCAAAAATACTTCTGTAGCGATATGGGGCCAAAGGTTCATGGCCAATCTGTTAAAAAAAAAGTAGTATTAAATTTGAAAAGGTTCAATAAAAAATGAATATTAATCAAATAAATCTGAATAAAATCTATACATAAAATTGAATTAAGTCATTAAAAATAATTGGGTATTCAAAAAGTTATAGAAATACCTACATGTTAATGTAAATAGATTTTGGGTTTCAAAAAATATTTTGGTTTTATGAACCAATAGCTGGGTTTAATTATTATAATTTTAAGAGAAGCAAATTATATTTATAATTAACTGATATTATTTACATGAATATTGCAATTCCAATTTATTTTCTTTCTTRATATAACTGGTTTTTGTAATTAGCTCTTAAACCTAATCTGGTAAATAATTTTTTAAGAACTTAATTACTGCATCACTTGTTTTATTGTATATTATTAAGAGATCTTGAATCTATCCACAACAACTGAGTAGCTTTTCTCAGCAAACTCAGCTATATCTGTTGCAATTTTATAAAATAGAATATCTGAAATATATGAAATACATTGGTACCTTAATTTTAAACCTACTAAATGTCAAACAAACCGTACAAGATAGTATAACATTTTCAATTTGTACATTTATACCGGATAGTAAAATAATTGATTCGCTTCTGCCTTAGTCTTTGCTACCCAAAAATGAGTTTTATGTAACTTGTTAATTATGAATTTTGAGGATTAAAAGCCTAGTTTTGCAATATAATAATCCTTTATTACTTAAAATTTTATTTCTTAGCTTCCAATAATGTTTGAGCTCACCATTCTCATTAATTGTCCTAAGACAACCCGATTTACAAAACTCTAGCACWTTCCCAAGCACCTTATCAATTTTTGTTTTCTATAAAAACTTTTTTTTTGAATTTTTATAATTTAATTCAATTTCACTTACAATATGTATTACATATTTTAGACTTTCTTCACCAGTATCATTTCGTCTTATAAAATTTTTAATRAGTAAATCAGTGACATGATAAAATGTCTAAATATTTTAACTTTATCTCGTACATTAGCAGCTTAAGTTTCAAACTTTTTAAACAATTATTAGGAATTACATGAATATCGTTTTTCGTTATAGTTACTAAAGGCTGATGGTCAGCGTATATTTTTATTTTTTGAATATAAATTAATTTATGGAGCTTTGTACAAGCAAAGGAAATTGCTAGAATTTTCTTATCCACCAGAGCATATTCAACTTCTGTTTCACTTAAACACCTTGAAGCAAAATGAATAGTACTTTTAGATTGTGATAAACAACAACCTATTGCTTTATCAGATTATCATTGAATTTCTAAGCTTTAAATATGGTCTAAAATTGTTCAACTTACATATATAACAACCCCAATTGTATTTGGAAATTATTAAACAAAAATCTATTTGTATTGCTTAAATTATCACAATTGTTGAGGGCTTAAACAAACATTTAAGTTTTATAATTACACAACCGTATTACTCTAAATATTTCATTATTACTTACCTGCACCAAAAATCTAGCATAATCCAGGGGATGAGTTAAGGTTTTCATAACGCATTTTCCGATTAAAGTGTGTCTAGGAGCATCACTATTTTCTTCCCTCCGATTTTCAGAGTCAGAATCCATTACTTAATAAAAATGTTTAAGCAATTAGAAATGAATAATAATATATCTTTTAAACTGTCCGGTTACTGAAATATCCTAAGAATTAGCGAGGATAGTGCAGTAATATTAAGTATCAGTTTACTGTAAATTTAAATACTCAAAAATGATTTGACATCATATGATATATTCATATCATAATAATCGAAAATCCCATTCGAAGGAAAATATCATGTAATTAATAATTATTATTTATTATGTTATTATCATACTGAGTACTGACGTCCGGTTGACTTGAAAGTCGATAACAAGAAACAAAAACACGAATCAGTGTTGCCGTTTTCGAGACTATAAAATAAGTTTTAGTGGTAGACAAAAAAAGCTTGATATGGCCACAGAACAATATAGAATCATAGACCTTATACCATGGCTTAAGATAAATTATCTTAAGCCATGCCTTATACTAGTATAAGGTCTATGTATAGAATAGACCATAGATAAATATAAACTTCGATTACGCTTAATCAGCTGATAACAGATATAACCATGCAAATTCGGCCGATTAAACTCCGGTTAACTTTAATCAGAGACGGTACAACTTACCGGCCCTAAGTATTGTCATAGATAATAAAGATATGGATAGGACATAACGGTCTTGTAAGTGGAAATTAAGGGGTACAATTGAGGCCAAATAAGTATAACTATATCGAGTATCGACTATCAATATAAAAGCATTGATGCTAAGAGCCTCAATTGCCTCTCCTCCGGGAACGCGGCCTCAAATATATTTAATATAGGCGTAGCCTACCCATATCTTTATTATCTATGAGTATTGTACAAATTACAAATATYGTTTTGTGGTAATATTGATATGATATATTTAATWGATAACATATGCCACGCCCTCCCGGAGACCGTGTTCAAGGCCACAGTCACCAGATTTTGCCAACACGCAGAGTGTMGTACCCCTGCTGTCACTTGACGCTTGTAACCTAAAATAGTATAATCTATAAACCTTGGAGGCGGCCGGCACTCACAACATCAAGGAAGATAATAAATTAATAAATTATAATTTTGTATCACTAAATAAAATAAATAGTAATTAAATTAAATAGTAATCGACAACTAATCGTACATTCGTACCTATAAACCTATAACGTATAACGTATAATTTCTCAGTTCTCGCCGTTCTCGGTCTATTGTTTATTCTCATTTCTTGAATTATTCAATGAACTTGTGCTTATTATTCAGTTCCATAATTTCATACGGTATTACTACTTATTGAATGTGTTTACAAATTCATACATTTAGCTGCGTTTCATAATAATAAATTCAATAATCCATTCAATAATCAAATGTTTTGAAATTCACCGATAAACCGTATCCTTTCACAGGTACGTTTACTGTAGTGGTTATCCAATAATTACGCGCACGTTAAAAATTTTAAAATTAATCATTGCTTACATTAATTTTCTAATATAAATAGGATACACTGGGCTACTGATATTATGCCAATATTGTATGTACTTATATAAACCATTTATTTATATAGGTTATTGTTTTTGTTTTTCATTTAATTCTTATTCTTATTATTTTATTTTTTTAGAAATGACTATTACCCATTTACAAGTAAAGAAATTGTACAAAGATCTTTTGAAGTATGGCTGTAATTTAAAACTTACTGACAAAAATTACTATAAAAGCAGAATCAAACAGGAATTTTTGGACAATAAACAGTTAGTTAAACCAGAAGACATTAAATTTTTCTATGATGTAAGTTCTAAATATTTTTACGATCAAAAAATCATGATTCTCTGATAGCTAAATTGGAAAAAATTCAAGTTTAGCTCCCAAACGATTTTTAAAAATTTTTTTTTTTGCAAAACGTGTGTTTTTGTATGCTTTTTGGAATGGTACATTAAAATAAAGTCGCTCAAACTTCTTATGGAAGTTATGTTCAAAAAACTTTGAAATTCGCTATTTTTCAAAAAATAATGTTATTGAATAAAAAAAATCAACAATTTGTACTTTTGGAATTTTTTTTTTTGTTTGTTAGTATTTGTATTCTTAATGTTTTGGTAAAATTTATCTATCGTACTTACTTTTTATGTTAACTTAAAAATGATCGATTTTTCCAAAAATTGTGTTTTTAAGTTAAAAATATCAATACCTAAAAATATTTTTTCAATCGATGTGTAATAACAAAAAAGTTTTTGATATAATCAAAATTGGTCGGTCAGACTTAGTTTCAAAGTTAWGACACCTCAAATAAGGAATTGATTACATTATTGGCAGCACTCGTCGCTCTGCCCTGCAAATTAAAAATATCCCTCAACTTGCTATGCAACATCACCTCAAGTAGGCCACAGGGTAAGTTATGCTGTAGTATATGGACAGTGATTACACAGTTTGCGACACTCGTTGAAAAAATTCTAAAAATACTAATTTTTGATGTTTATAATTCATTAATATTATTTTTTGAAAAATAGAGTGTTTTGAAGTTTTTGAATATAATTACCATTAGAAGTTCGAGCGAATTTATTTTAACGTACCATTACAAAAAACATACAAAAACACTCATTTTTAAAAAAAAAATTTCAAAACATCGCTTAGAAGCTTAACTAGAATTATGCCCTAAATTGCATTAAATTTCTAATATTTAGTTCACATTAACTTTTTTTAAAGTTAAAATGAACATTTAATAGTTATTAAAATATAATTATTTTTCTCTTCATAAATCATGATCAAAATCAATAAATTTATTTATAAATAATATTTATTGTACAAGATCTAAATCGATACTTCCTAATCTTAGTGCGAACTATTTACTGATAGCTAGACACCATTAAAGATATCATAACTACCGCTTTTATCTGTGAAATTTATTTCAATATTAATCAAAAAAGAGGTTACAAAAATCAAATAATTTATAAAAAAAAGTCCTCAATSTGAACTATAAGATAAAATATTAAAATTATGTTGTTTTTTTTTTATTACCTTTTAGTATCAACTATTACAGCACCACAATAAATTATGTTCTTATTTTACTATTTCATCTGCAACATCAGAAAGTTGAAAAATGAAATTAATGTACTCTAATATACTTTCATATTTTTAATTTCCTAATCTCTATGTCACGGATCATATATTGACCTTACCTAACATATCGTAGTATGATACAATCAATCAGAGTCAATATGTTAATATATACATATCCATGCTCTAATCAGAAACACATATTTATCTCATACATTTAAAAATAAATTATTATTATTATTGACAAGCTATGTCCAACTACAGTATTTACTATTTATTGAGATAATGATATCAAATAGATTTAGATCTATATATTGCGGATCTTGCACAATGGGTCCCATTACAAAATTAAATAATACCATTGGATTTACCCTGTTTTATACTCCAATTAATATAAAATATGCATATTTTAAATTTATAAAAATGTGGGTAGTTTTGACTTTACAGAAGATACAATTGTTATACCTACATTCTATTATATACAATTATGTTACCTAAATTTTTTATTTTATGAAATCAATGGTGATAATAAAAAAAAACTAAAAAATTTTCTTTTTTAATCAGCAAATTCTAATGCTGAACTAAAAAATTGGCTTCAATGTGCACATTTTGTTTTTACCAAATTTCAAAGTTATGTGTGTGAATAAGTGATAAACTTGGGTTGTAGAACGCTTACATATACTATGCCTTTTAATTTAATAAATATGTAAATATGTATACAGTTTTATTTACCTTTTGTCAATATTTATTTGTTTCAGAAAGGACAAGAATTATTAAAAAGAAAGTCAATAGTATAATTTRTGTACGTTTCCATTATATCAATGTATTCATTATTGTGTAAGGCTCTACCTTTTAACACTAAATGTGTGAAGAATGCTAGAGGCATAAGTTTAACATTTTTCAACAAGAAACAGACAATTGATCACTCAAAAGTGCCTATCATTAATGAAAATGAACTTGAAGAAATGTTTGTTAAGGGAAGTGGTCCTGGTGGATCTGCTGTTAATAAAAATGCTAATTGTGTTGTACTAAAACATAAACCAACTGGCATTGTGATTAAGTGTCATGAATCAAGATGTGTTGAAGATAATAGAAAAATTGCTAGAGATAAACTTGCTACAAAATTAGATGTAATAGAAAATGGTAATGAGTCAGTTGAAGCACAAAAAAAAGCAATCATGGAAAAAAAGAATGCACAAAAAGAATGGAAACGGAAAAAATTAGAAACACTAAAAAAGGATTGGATTGAAAGAGAAAGTAGTTTTGAACCATAAATTAACATAGTTCATACCTAATAATTTATTATTTAAGTCGTTTTTTGTTAAAAAATAAAATTWTTGTAAAATGTATATTATGTTCTCATCACTAAATTAGAAGTCGGTACATATTATGTATTTAATAATTTATTATATATTATTTTTGATTAGTCAAATGTAATAAGTATACTTAAATAATCAATGTAGTAAATAGTAAACATAAAAATAAATATATCTTAAAAATACAAATATTTAAATTAAAAAAATTATATACATGATAAATACCTGAAACTACATTACAAAAAAAAAGTTATTCCAGTTCGGTTATCGATGGACTCGTCTGTAAACATGCAAAATGTATTATTTTTTAACAATTCTGTTAACTCTTCCTTCTCAGAACTACCAGTGACATTTTTAAATATCAGTTTTTGTTGAGATACCTATTACTTAACAAAATAAAAAATATATTTATATTAATTTAGCAAGCATTATGTTTTGCTATTTTTAAATTAAGAAAGCATTCCTGCAGTAAACCAAGTAGATGACTAGTTGCTAAAAATAAAACTTTGTGCTCTGATGTAAAGGCGGGAATTTTAATTTCAAATTTTTATCCGTATGTATGAGAGTAAAAATTTGTGTTTGCTTTGCTACCGTTCATGCAGTAGCGATTTAGCTTATGTTTAATTCCTTTCCGTGAAGGCGTGAAATTGAGTCACTTTGAGCCCTAATATCTTAAACCTTGCTCGTTATATATAAATTACACATGCCCCTTAAAAACATATGACTTATGAGTTATGAGCAGTCTTATCATGAAGCATACTTATTAGTTATTCTTAGGTTTATACCATGGTATTGCTTTGGTCGCCCACTAACTGCGGCTCTACTATATAGACAGTGACTACTACATTTTCACTTTTCACTCGCTTTCACTGCCTTCAGTGTTCAGTATTCTCTATTCAGTAGAATCAAATTTAAGTCTCAAACTCGGACAACCATATAAATAAGGTACTATTTACTATATAGTTACTACAACAGGCTTGTCACTGAAAAATTGTAGTTATAATTGATTACGGAGTATGGACTACCGAATACCGATCACGGAAGTTCTTGTTGTCACTTATAAATTATAATTATAAATTGTCACTTGTCAGTCGTTGTGATAGATAACGCGTTGTATTTCACTGTAGTCTTATCATAATTAATATTCTAGATTCTTCGATTTCGATGACGCAATTTTAGTATAAATCGTATTTATTTACGTTTTTGTATTTTATATAAACTGAGTCCGGGTCGCGTGAATCGGTGAATCATTCAACAGACGACACGACACACGAGTAGTCGAGTAAATCAATTGTAATATTCCGATATTCCTGCGATTGTCGAGACAAGCGCACAGACGAAAATTTTTCACGTTGGTCTGATCGTCCATCCGTTACGCACTTGCGCATCGTTATCTCCTTGCACACAGCTATATACTATATAGATACCTATAAATCAGTCTTCGTTAAATACTCTTAAGTGTCGCTCTAAAATACTATAAAAATAAAATACTCGTAAACGCAGTGTTGTAGTGAGCATTATCGAATAAAATACGCAGACGACCAGTTAGCAATTACATAACCGTTGCTTGTACCTTTACGGATTCACGAAGACAGCAGGTAAGCGATTTTTGTTTTATCTTTTCTTGAAATCTCTCATCCTAGGTACGTACGTATAATACGTATGTTATTTTATTATTAATATCTATTGTATACGTCTTTTATTATTACGGCTTCTATTTTGTGCCCGTATCACCATATCACCCATGTACCTGTAATACTTCTGTTTCACCATGAATCTGGAACCTGAGTCATTCGGATTTTAAGAGTTTGTTCCCCGTTGCCTGTCCATTTACAGGCATATAACTGCAAAACAATCTTTAAACATCTTGTTACTTTGCTGCGCGCTGATAAGTGTTTTCCTGCATGATGACGCATAGCAGAGATGTAAGCCCCTGTGTGCATTAGTCTATAATAGTGCAACTGACATTTGAACAATCATGAATACTCCAAGTTCAAGGTCGTTGCATTTTTTATTATTTGCACCATATTGTGTAAACTTATYTTTATGAATTTAACTAGTGACAACCGGTTTTCTAAAATCTTAAACATCAATGTTTATTTTCTGTAGACCTTTCTTTTGTAAAATTTAAATTAACAAAATCCCCATAAGTGCATTACGCATTATTATCATTGATCCAGTAAGAAAGCAGAGAGAGTTGGTTTGATATGGCATCTGATGAATCATAAAATTGTTTAATTTTTTTGTGAATATCTTGAAATAGTTCAATGAAGCAATTGAAATTTGGTAGTGTAGTGTGCCTGTTAAAATAATTCTATATAAATTAATTGTAAATAACCGTAGTTCTATAACTATACAAATTGGCGATCTTAAAATTGTAATTAGGATAAAAATTCCCCAACAAATGACAGGTTAGAGATAACAAAACTAAAATTACAATTTCTGATGGCGCCCCAAAAGTATAGCTTGTGGCGGATGCAGCTAGTTCAATACAACACTAACATACCTATTATATTTAATTATTTTAAATATACATGAAAATAATATTATAATTATTATTCACGTCTTAAATATTATACATTTAAAATATCTATTTCAAATTATAGATTAATATAATGCGAAGAAAATACTATTTTAATTATTATTTATTTAAATAAATATTTCGTATGATTGAGTCGATGTTATATAAAATATAGGTGGTTTAGGAACAAATCGATAAACAAATGCACTTTACCACGCCCCTCACGAATTTCAAATTTTTTCTTATAAGAAGTAATTTTAAATGCTGATTTTGAAATTGTTTGAATTTTTTTGTGGAAACAATTATTTTGGAAGTTATAGCCTTTTAAAGTTTAAGATTTTACATTTATACACATGTGCGCAACAATACTTCCATCACGCGCAGTGCCTACAAATTTTGATTTTGTTTTTGGCGTAATTTAACAAGTTAAGGGCATGCTTTTATAATTGATAAGATAACTCGATCGACAGCCTAGGTTAAAAAAATAGTTAAAATTCAATTTTTTTATTGTTCCAATACACGTAAAGTAAACACAGTCAATACAATTAACATATAATATGTTAATAAACAATATTATAAGTTTCTTCATCATCATTAGTACTGTTAAGTTAAAGTAACATAAGTATATTATAGTAGCTCCCTTTACCTAACGGTGCCGGTCACCAAACTCGAGGTCCTCTAAACCTTGTGTTGGATGGGAGCACGGCCTCGAAACCCCTAGGGACTAAGGTAGCCAACCTTGGGGGAGGGGGATGACCCTTTCAGAATCAGGAAGGACAAGTATCCCTGCTCTTCGGGCAGACGTATCGCCTAACAAATAAACTTAACCTTGTTAGTTAAAGTAACACTAGTAACCGATTCTGCAGAACTACCATGGTAGCCAAACTTAAGAAACTGTCTTAGCTTACCAGCTCCAGAGAATAGATTACTAAACAGTCCAAGTAAACAACTCGCCTAAGTCTTTTCCGCACGGAATTAAAATAATGTTACATGCATGCGTATATACGCGAAATCTTAAACTTTGAAAGGCTAATATTAAGGCTATAACTTTTAAAATAATGGTTTCTGTATAAAAATACAAACAGTTTCAAAATCAGCATTGAAAATTACGTCATTAAATTTTTAAAATTTGTGAGGGGCGTGGTAAAGCACATTTTAGCCGGTGGCTTGTAATAATTTAAAATACATCTATACTCACAGTAGATTTTTAACTGTTAAAATAATTTGTTTATAATAATCACAGTTAGTTATTGAATTGAAGTTTTATATCTTATACATTATTGTTAAAATATTATAGAAAATGTAATAGTTTATTTCAGGGTACTATAAATATTAATTTTTGAATGATAAGTATAATATATCATATACCTATTTGTAAAAAAATATTTATTCAAATCATTTTCATGTGAATAATAATGTAATCTGGGGATTTTTATTCTGGTATTCCTTACAATACCTATTAGTTGATTAAATTTAAGAATTTAAAAAAATTCAATAATATTTTAATTTGAAAATCTTTGTTTTTATACCTTATTTATTTTTATTTTTTTGTATGAGATCTAAGTTAGTAGAGTTGGTTGTCTGATCTAGTAGATTATTTTATCAACACTAGAAATATAAAATATTTATATGATCAAATTTAGTTAGAAAATATTTGAGGAATAATTATTGCTTAAATCAATAGACCTATTGTAAGTATAAAATGTAATGATATATTTAAAAAAAAAACTGATTTAGGAGTATCAACCTCTTAAAAAATATGTCAAAAGAAGTAAATGTTGATTTTATTATCATAGTTGCCTACCTTGTTGATATTATCCATTAAATTCTCGTTTATTAATAAATCTTGCATTATTGGGCCTTTTTGGTCTACTCACCTACAATATTATCATAGAACAGTTATTATTTAATTACATAACATATGTTTGTATTTTAAACAATTTATTTTCAAGTATTACTTAGTTAAAACTAACAAATTCTTAAAATTATATGTTTAATACATTTTTTTTGTGTTTCTATGGAAATTATTGAAACTAGCATATTGCTAATGAATGGTTTATACTACCATTTAAAAAAAGTTCTTGATTTAAATAATGTTTATTATGTCATATTTTTCAGATTAGTTGGACCAGTGTATAAATAACATTCACAATGAGTACATGGCAACAAACGCAAACTCCATACGGATCAGGAGCTGGTTTGTTTATTATAATTTCAATACATTTTTAAACATTCTTATAGAATTATTTCTCAACATGAACTTAAATTGTCAGTATGGAGATATTAGTGGTATGAATAGTAAATAACTTAAACTGTTATCCTTTTAGAATTTAAATAAAACATTTACCTCAAACATCATTGTATTACATTCTCAAAGTTATAATAACTACTATACACATTTGTTGTCAGTCTACTAAATCATTAATATAATTTCCATTTTGCACTCCCAAATTTGAAGAAAATATTCTACTATGAATATTAATGATACTATAACTTGAAATCATCCCATAAAAAAATAGGATGATACAGAATGTCACCTTTTAAAATGAATACTTGATAAAAAGGATTATAACTTATATTGAAGACTAGACCAGTGGTTGTCAACCTTTTTAGGTTCATGGCTCCTTTTGATTGTGAAATAAAATATTTGGCTCCCATATGAACATTTATAATAAACAAATTTACATTATTTAATTATTAGTAATGGGAAACTTTTATTTTTGTATAATTTAAATTTAAATTTATTTTATTTTTAGTCTTTACTGCAAACATGGCTCCCTTGATAATAACTGACAGCGCCTCTCGACGCTCAGGTTAAAAATCACTGAACTAGACTATTTTGATATTCACAAATTTAGATTTCATGGAACATTTCTACTTTACTAAACACCCATTTTTTATGCAATTTTTTTTTTTRGGTATCAAACTTAATAGTTTTACATTCARTGCTAATATATTTTTAACTGTTTTTCAAATTACAATAGTCTTCATTGCTTAAATCCTATTAATAATAAATTATCATGAATCATCTTTAGTTTAGAATTTTTATGGGCCATGTTAGATAATAGGTTGTGTATCACTGCCTTAAAATGTTTGAAATGTTTAATGTTAAATAGGCTCAAGTAAACTTTCCTCTCTACAATCTACATTTTAATAATATTTTTTTCTTGTTGTAAAACTGTTCTACTAATCACAATTAATTACTAAATTCTGAATATTTCAATTATAATAAATGTCATGATTTTTTTTTAGCTCCACCACCGCCTGGATTTTTTCCCCAAGGTGCACCATACCCAAAAGCTGATGGAGGTTATCCTGCTGCTGGAGGTTATCCTGCTGCTGGTGGTTATCCTGCTGCTGGTGGTTATCCTGCTGCTGGTGGTTATCCTGGTGGTGGTGGATATCCTTCTGGTGGTGGATATCCTCCTCCATATGCCCAACAAAATATGCCTTATTATGGAACAGGAGTACCAGATAATTCTCAAAATAATAGTTTCAATGCACCCGAAAACTTTGGCTTTAGCGATAAAACTATACGTAAAAACTTCATATGGTAAATATATTTTATTTGATAATAAAAAATTATGGTAGTTATTATAATATGATATTAATTTTTTTTTATTCTTTCAGTAAAGTGTATAGCATTTTGATGTGTCAGCTACTAGTCACATTAATATTTGTGGCTATGGCAACTCTTCATGATGCCACCAGACTTTACGTAAAATCACATCCTGGGCTAAGTATCATTGCAATTATCATTACTTTCGGTACTTTAATTGCCCTCGCATGCTGTGAAGATTTACGTCGCAAGAGTCCTACCAACTTTATTCTTTTGGCTGTATTCACCTTAGCTGAATCATTTTTATTAGCAGTGTCAGTGTCACGTTATTATCCGGAACAAGTGATGTTGGCTCTTGGCTTAACTACATTGATATGTTTTGCTCTTACAATATTTGCTTTTCAGACTAAAATAGATTTTACAGTAATGGGTGGTTTTCTAACAGTAGCTGTAATAGTTTTACTGGTTGCATCTATTGTTGCTATATTTTTTCCTGGAAAATTGATGACTCTCATAATTGCATCTGCGGGTGCAATCATATTTTCTTTATATCTTATTTATGACACCCAAATGATGGTCGGTGGTGATCATAAGTATTCAATCTCTCCAGAAGAATATATATTTGCAGCATTAACCATTTATGTAGACATAATTAACATTTTCATGTATATATTAGCCATTATTGGAGCTTCTAGCGATGATTAAACATTTTATGTATAAAGATATAATAAAACTGTTGTTTATTTAAATTAAAGATGTAGATTATTATTATTCCTTTTAGCTTTAATTTTTCTGATTAAATGCAGTTATTCTGTTATTTTGTGTTCAGCGAGTCAGTTTTATATATATTTAATATTTACTCACTTATTCTCACTAAATATTTATATATAATGTATTAAATATAATATGAAAAAAGTATTAAAAAACATCTGTTTAATAAAATATTATTAAATACCTTGTATTTACTTTTTATTTYATAATTGAAATTCTATCTGTATCTAATATACATCTTAAATTATTTATATTTTTTTTATGATAAGCCAAAATTGTATAACAGATATTCAGCATTTTTGACAACTTTAGTTATATAAACTTATATTAATGGATTTTTGAAAGTTTGTTTTCTGTACATGAATTTTAATTTAATAATAAAAAATATTTCGTTAGAACAATACATTATGTGAAATATAATATAATTCTTATGATTTATACGAATTGCATTTTATTCATAAATAAGCATTCCTAAATATATATTTGTGATTTAAACTTTGTAGTAACAAATTTTAATTATTTTTGTACACATTGTTATTCTTTTTTGGTATCTCATATATTTTAACCATTGGTGTTAATATACATTTTTAACCTTTAAATTTACCTTTATAATTTGATATGTTTGTGGCATTTAATTTAATGGATATTTTGCATGTAAAATGTACAAATAAATGTATAATTATGATTTAAAATATTTGGTAATATGCATTAATTATGTATTTGTTCTTACCTGTGTTCTATATTATTAAATGTTTGTAAAATTAAAAGGTATACTTTGATATTCTAGATTTTTATACCAGTTTATCAAAAAAAAAAAATATATATTTTTGTGCTAAAACCTGTAAATAACAATATTTAGGTTTGTATAAGAAATGTTAATTAGGTAGTTATTTTACTGGGCTGTGCTATGATATGTTAGTTTACAATTTAAATAAAATGTAGGATATTGGATACAACCATTACAGTTTTCAATAATTATCTAACCAGAATTTCAACATMATTTAAGTTTATGCTATACTAGGTAGGTATCTGAAGTTGTACAAAAAAAAATTGGTCAACATTACTTATTATACTTAAAAATCTTAATAATTGACTACTAGCTTTTATATACGTTGTTCTTGCTCCAATTTAAAAGTATTAAAAATATATATACATTTGTAGCTTAAATGTTGACAAAATCACTGAAGTTTGCAAATTATTTTTTAGTAAAAATTCATTAAATTCTTTTAACAGTCTTTTGAAAATTGATTTCAGGATACTACTTATATTATGCTTGTTCAAAAAACAACCTATAAAAATGAAAAATAATTGTTTATGGACATTAAACATTTTCAATTTTCACGAAATTAGGATATGTATTTAATGAAAAACCACGATTTTACTTGACTTATTGTAATTAAAGTTTAACATAATACGTATTATTGGTATTGGACAGTGGTTAGAAATTTTCACTCTGTACTGTCTGGGTGGTCTAACCTATTATTATTTAGATACTCTGAATTTTTTCAAATATTTTGGTTAGTTTAAAATATATTTATATTTTAGAAATATTCAAATATTTTGCAATCAGTTTTTGATAAAATTGATTTGTAGTAACTCAAAAACGAATAGCCATTGATATTTTGAATTATTTCACCAAATGTTTATAATATGACTGCATTCTATGGAATACATTAAATGAATTTTATCATGGAACAAGATAATTAAAAAAAATATTTAGATTGAGCTATTAATAAGCATGAGAATTTTAGAATATTTAATTGTTTTACATTTTTTTTACACGTATTAAATATTATTTTTATTTTGCGGAAGGAGGAGAAATTATTTGTCCATTAAACATTGGGCAGCATTGCATACTTAAAACCTAAATTATATTATATGTTATATGTATGGGTATAAGTGTGTACATAATAAATGATACATTTTTCTGTTCTTATATACCTATGTCATATTCTTATTACCTATGCAGTATGTAACCTCTTAGGCCACCACTAAAAGCTATAAATAGCTATACTTATGAGTTATGACGAATAGCAATATTTTCAGGATTGAAATTTTCTGCCATTTCTGGATTAAACGTCAAAGGGTTTGGATACAAATCAAAAAAATGACGAGTGCCTAATATGGATATGACACACGTTCCCTTTGGTAGTACATGATCGTTTGAAACTGAAATATAATTTTTTTACTGCAGCTATTTATTTTAGTTGCAGGCTTGCAGTTTTGAATGTTTTGATAATCATTTAATAATTTATTTAATTTAATTAATTTTCATCAGAAGTTTCATATTCACATCTCAAAACATCTGTTACTTTGTTTATTAATTAGACGATCTCTTTAAAATGCGAATTTCGGAAAAACCTGTCTTTGTTGGTCTCTTCGTCAATTCGTCATAAAATAAAACTACTGAGTAATAATCAAATGTCATACTCATAGCTTTGGCGATGATGAATTAGTCAGTTAGCCAGGAATTCTGTGGACAGGACAAGAGCTTTTATTGTTTTATGATACAGCTTTATGGGTTTTAAGACGTATTATTATTATTTTTTTAAATAGATACATAAAATACGATTGGCTAAAGCCATCACCTAGGTCCGCACCTTATTTAGTAATTTGAGCCAATTTAAAGATAAGCTATTAGTTGGAAAATTGCAGATCACGTATTAACATGAGTCATGATCATGAATGTCATGACTTCAGACTTAATTTCTGAATAAGTAGCATAGACTTTTGAATTATTGATATTGTTTTTTGTTTGTGGATTTAGACATGATAAATTATGTCATTTATCATGGATTTAGATATGAACGTCTATTAGAAATATTTCACTAGAGGTCGTTACGTGAGTATTTTATTTTATATTGTTATCAAAATATCAAAATATTCAACCAATCTCCGGGGCGGGGCTAACCAGCCCATCATGCTTCATTGTAGCTTCACCGGACACTGGTCGGTGAGTAGGTAACAGGTTGTCAGGTTACGTTAAATGTTTGTTAAATGTTTGTTAGTAAATAAAACTATTATAAGTATCGTTAACGTTGTGCGTTTTATATTTCTTTATTTCAACTTATAGTATACAATTTTGTGTAGCATAGTTATCTGTTCTTGATATTTACAGGTCAATTAATAAGTGTTGCTTTTCATGCACAGTAAAACTATGCAGTGTTTGATAATACGTTAATGGAATTTAAATCTAAGGTATTTATCATGCTTGGGCGTAAACCTTTTGTTGTTCGATTATAGTATATAGAAACGAACGATGTAGTAGTTGTAACTTTGTAAGATGGTTATGTATTGTTTGAATTTTATTTCTTGATGCTTAGAATTCATGATTTGTATTGTATGGGATCATAAAATTAAATTTAACATTATGTAATTGAGGTATTTAAATACCTATACAATCTTATGTGCTGTAGATATTTTGGCATGGTTTCGTAGTAGACATACACATATTTATCAATGTATTTTTTTTTTATTATACTGAGGTAGCTTATTAAATTTAATTAGTAAATATATTTTTCAGAAAAAATGTTTTTGATAATACCATTCTTTTAACTTACCAACTACCTGTTGATTACTTTTAATTTGATAACATGTTAATTTAAATTTCAGCTTGGCTTAGTGTCTTACACATATTTAGATACTATTTTATTAACATAAAAAATTAGTTCTAAAAGCTTTCCATAAAATCTTAGTAGGGATCAACTAGGTATTTTAACATTTATGTATATAAATAGTTTATTGATCTTTGAACTCGGCAGCTGAAAAAAGTAAAATCAGCTACCAACAATAGAGTGACAAATTCCTAAAACCACTAAAACCACAGATCTGTGACTAAAATAGTGTGGTTTAGGAATACAGCGATCTATCTGGTTGTTTTGTTTGTTCCATATTGAATTAACTATTGTATTTTTTTTATTAATTATTTAATATGAGCTGTTAACAATGTAATAATTAGACATTTATAAATAATATAATTAAATTAACAGCAGTGGTGTAATTATTAAGGTGCACAACGATGCACTTGCCCCCATACTATTATATAGCAGTRCAAAGATATGCTTACGCATCTGCAAGCAATGAACTTTATACCTATTAAAATACTACAATACTGTATTTCATTAATTTGTTGAATTTTTATAAACATATTTAAAAAATTTTTTATCACTATAATTCATTTTATATAAATATTATATTTTTATATGTATAATGTACTGTGTACAGATATACCACATGCAGTGTTTGAAATATACTGATTTTGAGATTTGTTTATGTTATAATGTTATCAAATATAAAAAGATAACTATAAAACATGCAAGCAAAGCAATTAGCATTAAACATGATTTAATTTGTCAATACAATTATTGGACCGATAAAAGTTTTGCACCTGCTGAGATTAAATGGAATTATGTCAATGATTAACAGTATAATATTTTGTATTACTTTTTCAGATTTTTCCAAAATGATGTCTATTTATATTATACTTATTTTAATTTTAAAACTTTGTTTGGGACAAGACTATCCACTTCCAACATACAAAGTTTCTCAAGAAAATGACTATTCACGTACTACAAAATCACAAAACGATAGATCATTTAATAATTTAATAAGTGATTGGAAARATAATTATGATAGTAACATAATCATCCCTGATGCGTAAGGAATTTTTATTGTTTAGCGTTTATAATGCAAAAATAAAAAATGATTAAATTGATTTTAATTTTTAACCTTTTTAGGAATTATTTTGTGGTTGCAAGTCGGATGGTTAGACCAGGTCAAGTGTACAAAATATCAGTCACTGTTTATAAAGTCAAACAACCAATTTCTGTTAGAGCTTCAATTCAAAGAAATGGAGTTGAATTAGCTTCTGACATAAGTGTAATAAAAGAAGGAATTCAAGAAACATTATTATTATTGGTTAGAATCAATTTTAGATTAGTTTCTCAAATATATAAATAAAATGAAATCTCTTACATGTAATTGTTGCTAAATTTAGGTACCAGCCACAAGTGTTGTTGGTGATTATAAACTAAGAGTAGAGGGCTTATACGATGGCATCATTGGTGGTTATGCATTTAGTAATGAAACTCAATTAAATTTTTCACAACG